TGGCAGTACATCCGAGAGGAGTTTGGGTAGAAAATGCGAATCGTTTCATTAGCTATTAAATTTTCGCCTATTTAACATATCACATTCTTATCTCCTTCATTTCGTTGGATTAACTTTATCATTTTTGAATTAAATTTCTACAATATATTTGATTTATTTATTGTATGTTTAGTATGACGCTCAACTAAATTGTGAGAAGAGTTCATCAAAGATAATTTCAATGGCTACTTTTTGGATATTTCTTCAATTTTTTTTATATCGTAGCCATGACAGTTGCGGTATTCTTTTTTTATTAGCATAACAAATTATGAAAATTTTAATAGTTTTATAAATAAAAATATAAAGTTTCGTTTAGTAGAATAGTTTAGTAGAATAAGATTAGATAGATAAAGTTAATAAGATTAAATGGTTAAAACAATGGTTGAAACAATTTAAAAATTCTTTTTTTTTCAGCAAAAAGCAGTGATAAGAAATCAGCAGAAACTTCAAGAATTTTATTCTGATATACACGAAAAAAAAACTTATTCATATATAATTTTTGAAATTTCTGAAGATGGTACAATAGTTGTTGATAAAGAAGGTTCTATAAACGAATCCTATGCAGAATTTCTTGAAGTACAATTTCTTCTTTTGCAATAATTCATTTCGTTTGAATAACGTCGATACAACGTCGCATTTTTTTATTGATAAGGAAATTTAGAAGGTTCATTTTATAAAACTCTTCCTCTAGTTAACTGATGATTTTTTGCAATAATATACTTGTATTGTTTTTATTACTATTATTATCCATGATAGTTTCCTTTCCATTTCTTTTTTTCAATTCGAGCTGATACAATGATTTTTTCTTTTAGTGAAAAAATTAACGGGAAAAAGCAATTTCATAAATTTCAATTTCATATGCTGCATAATCTTATTTTATTCAAAATTATTCTAAATTAATAACTATTTTCAGAGATTTTTTTACATTTTCCATAAAAAAAATGATTGTCTATATGCGATGGTTGATGTGGAGGCGCGACGTGGTACCAAAAAACTCGTCTTCCTTCTTTAGTTAGTGATATTTAAACCTATTCTTTTGATAAACACTTTGCACTCTTAACAGAAATATTGTACAATTCGTCTTCAAACAGCACTCAGATTGATTTCATGAATATGTTTAAAGCAAATCACCAAAAAATATTTCAATCTTAAAGGAATTTAAAAGACGAAATTTTTTTTCTAAATATTTCATATTTTTTTCTAAATATTTTGTAATTTGTAACTTTATAATTTAAATATCTCTAAAAAATTTCCCGTAAAAAATACAATATTGGTTTATTTCTCTTATTTCTTTTAATTCGATTTGTGCAAAAGGAAGCAAATTTTCATCGAATACCCTTTCCTATTATAAAATTATTTATATATTTCATAATCCTCAAAATAGGGATTTATGCTCACTGATTTTGATAAGAATTTAGTGCATTTGCTAAATTTCTTAATTATTTTATATTAATTATATATTATATATAGTTATATATAATATATATTATATATTATATATAATTATATATTATTATACATATAATATTATATATTATATTCTCTACCGAAAAGAATAGTGAAAATATATTTAGTAATTATTCGGCATTGCTTTTATTTTCTAATCACTCATTCCTCTTCTTTGTAATTCAATTTTAGCAAATTTTAGGTGCGTTAAACTACCACATATATGAACGAAGATGCAAGAGATTTCATTAATTTTTTTTTTGGAATTTGGAAAGTCTTTTGCATATTCGTACCTAAACTAATCTTAGAATAATTTCTAGCTGTGGTACACGAACTATACGAAAATCTATTTTGAAAAATATTTTATTGTTCGGTAAAATGAAGAAAATTTTTCCTTCGGCCGATCTTCAACTAGCTGCTATGGAATATCAGGATATCAGAGAAGATAAAATCAAGCGACGTTTAAATTTCTAAAAAAAGATTTATTCCAATTTTTTTTATAATTTCATATTTTTTCACATTTGTTAAAATCTGTCTATTATATATGTTTTTTCAAATCTTTTTTTTAAATGATCAATAAGAAGTCACATTTTGGCACATTTCTGGTGCTTTGGTATGCTTTTTTTTAATGGTGGTCGATTGGCATTAACTTTTTTTTAAGAGTCCTAAACATTACTGGTTAAACTCGCTCCAAAATTAATTCAGCTAATTTCACGCATATAAAAACGATGCTAACGAAAATTCATAAAATTAGCATACGAAGAAGTTGGTTGTCTTTAAATTTTCGTGGATTCATATTTTTCACATTTATTAAAATCTTAAATTTATTAAAAAATTTTCACATTATTTTCTATAATTTATTATCATCATCATCATAATCTTTTTTATAATCAATAACAAATTACACTTTGGTACGTTTCTGGTGTTTGGTGTGCTTTGTTTTTTGTGGTGATTAGTGTGGTAATTAATAAATTGGTCTTGATCGCTTCTAAAGAATTTTTCATAAGACGTCGTCAAAACATCGACCCATTTGATGAATATATTTGCCAACATTTGAGACTGTACAAATTCACATTTGCAAAATGCCGTGATAAGCAATCATGCAATTTCATAAGCTCTTTTAACGAAGTTTTTATGGATTGATCGAAAACAAAAACTGTCATTGAAAAAAAAAAGATTCCTGAAAAACTGTTTTAAATTTTAACCATAGTTTTAAGCATTTAACCTTAATCTAAAAACGAGACTTTATGTTTTTATTTAGAAAACTATTAAATTATTAAATATTTTATTGTTCGCTGAAGCGAAGAAAACTTTTCCTTCGGCCTTCAACTAGTTGCTATGGAATATCAAAGAGGTAAAAATCAAGCGACATCTAAATTTATATATATAAAAAAGGTGCTAAGAAAATTTCATGAATTAATTCAGCTAATTTCACGTATTTAAAAACGATACTAACGAAAATTCATAAGTGTATTTAAATTTTCACGGATTTATATTTTTCTCCACAATTGCAGTTGCAAAACGCCATGATAACGCAATTATGCAATTTCATGTGCTCATTTATTTGCAATTTACATAATAATTGATTATTTAATACTTTTTTCGTGTAATGATAACAGATTACATGGCAGCAACCTTCCTATGATATTTCATTTAATCGTATAAATGAATCCTTTTTTATTGACCTTTCTACATTTTCTTCATTTTTCCTTCATTGGCATTAAGAATACACATACCATGCAGTGAAGAATTTGTAAGAAATAATTTATAAGTCAAAAATTAACTTATCTGAGTCATATTGTTTTAGCCTCCATCTAAATTATTTTTTCCTCGTCCAAACTAAAACACAAACCTTACCCACCGCACAATCAACAATCAGCATATTCTGAATAAAATAAAGGCTTCCAAATAAACACCAGGGAAATGCCCTTAAGATTTAAACCCTAATTCACTAAAAACCTCGCACAAAATTTAAAAGACACAAAACATAAAATTTTAAAAATACAACATACAATTTTAAAAATACTGCAAAAGCAATCTGCTAACGCGCATTTGGAAAGTTAAACATAGATGTAAAACGAAAATCTGGCGAGAATTTATAATTATAACTAAAGATACCACATACTAAACCAAAGGACTTCTTCATATTATGTTTATGTATTTTGTTATTTATCAATTATCAATTTATCAATTATCAGAAATTATGACTTATTAAATGGAAATAATTCGTAAACATATTTATTTGCTTTGGATTCTCACTTGGATTTTATATCAGAGAATTGTAACTTTTGAAAATAAAACACTGCAAAATATGCATGTTTATATTACTATCGATGATTCAATATCAGAACTGATAAGTTTATTAAATGAAATTTTATTAAACAAATATTAAAATAATAATCATTAATATTCAAATTATGAAAATAATTTTACTATCGTTATCACCATTATCACTATAGTTTGTTATGGCCACTGTAACTATTCAATAATAATACTATTACAATTTATTAATGTTTTTTATATTTATTTTTTTTGTTTCGGATTTAGTGAAAGTTATTAATTAAGAAAGAATTCATTTATATGATTAAATGGAATATCCGTCGAACTAAGGTGATTGCTGGTAGGGAAAATAGTCTCTTACTATCTTTTATCTAGAATAGAATTTTTTCAACAAGGTTCAAATGTCATATGTAGGATTAACTTGAAATTTTTTTTAATCCATTCCCCTTATCAGTAAAAAAAAAAAATTAAAAATTTTTAAAAAAATTAAAAATGTTGTTCAAAAAATTAATGCATACTGTTTTTGATTAGATTTGCTAGATTGATTATCATAAACAGTTGTTTTTTACAGGAAAGTCACTTTGCAATGGAAGTAAACTCTGGTCGTACTACTTCCTAATTTCCGAGAGAAGGATGGAGAGAAAATGCTTCATTTGCTAATAAATTTTCGCGTATTTAACATATCACGTGTGCTATTTCCTTCATTTCGCTGGATTGACCTTCTCGTTTTTGAATAAAATAATTTCTATACAATATATTTGATTTGTTTTATGTTTAGTAAAATGTGGTTGACTAAATTGTGAGAGAAGTTCATCAAAAATGATTTCAGTGGCTACTTTTTGGATATTTCTTCTTCAGTAGTGGATTCAATCTTAAATCTTGGCAAATATATTCAATATGTTTAATTTATTAAATGAATCGTCGTTTTTAGGGACGATTTATGAAAAATTCTTTCCAAGAAGCTATTAGACCAATTTATTAATTAACACATCAATCACCATAAAAAAAAAAGCACATCGAACACCAGAAATGTACCAAATTATAATTTGTTATTGATCATAAAAAAGACTAAGAATGCTGAAGATGACGACAAAATTCAAAAAATAGACTTTAACAAATGTGAATAAATATGAATCCATGAAAATTTAAAGATAACCATGAAGCCAATCGCCTTCATATGCTAATTTTACGAATTTTTTGTTAGCATCATTTTTATACACGTGAAATTAGCTTAATTATAGATATCGCTTGATGCTATCCTCTGCGATATCGCGATAATCTGCAGCCATTAGTTGAAGATCGGCAGAGCGAAAAGTTGTCTTCATTTCACAGAATAATAAGGCACCTTTCACAATAAATTGTCGTGTAATTTGATCTCCACAGCTAGAAATTATTCTGAGATTATTATTTTGAGGAAAAAAACATGCAAAAGACATTCCAAAAAAAAAATTGAATGAAATCCTGCACTTTCCTCATATATGTGGTAGTTTAATGCACCTCGCTTTGCTAAAATTGAATTACAAAGAAGAGGAATGAGTGATTAGAAAATAAAAGCAATATTGAATAATTACCAAATATATTTTCACTATTCTTTTCGGTAGAGAATATAATATATAATATTATATGTATAATAATATATAATTATTTATAATATATATTATATATAACTATATATAATATATAATTAATATAAAATAATTAAGAAATTTAGCAAATGCACTAAATTCTTATCAAAATCAGTGAGCATAAATCCCTATTTTGAGGATTATGAAATATATAAACAATTTTATAATAGGAAAGGGTATTCGATGAAAATTTGCTTCCTTTTGCACAAATCGAATTAAAAGAAATAAGAGAAATAAACCAATATTGTATTTTTTACGGGAAATTTTTTAGAGATATTTAAATTATAAAGTTACAAATTACAAAATATTTAGAAAAAAATATGAAATATTTAGAAAAAAAATTTCGTCTTTTAAATTCCTTTAAGATTAAAATATTTTTTGGTGATTTGCTTTAATCGTATTCATGAAATCAATCTGAGTGCTGTTTGAAGACGAATTGTACAATGTTAAGAGTGCAAAGTGTTTATCAAGAGAATAGGTTTAAATATCACTAACTAAAGAAGGAAGACGAATTTTTTGGTACCAGGTCGCACCTCCACATCAACCATCGCATACAGGCATTCATCTCTACCACGGGAAATTTCAAAAAATCTCTGAAAATAGTAATTAATTTTGAATAATCTAGAATAAAATTAGATTATGCAACATATGAAATTTAAATTTCTGATATTGCTTTTTGGTTAATTTTTTCATTGCAAAAAAAAAACCATTGCATCAGCTCGAATTGAGAAAAAAGGAATGGAAGAGAAAATATCATGGAAAATTTTAATTTCTCAAAGAATTATAATAATAGTAATAAAAACAATACAAGTATATTATTGTAAAAAATCATCAATTAACTAGAGGAAGAGTTTTATAAAATAAAAAAAACCTTCTAAATTTTTTCTTATCAATAAAAAAATGCGACGTTGTATCGTTATTCAAACGAAATGAGCTATTGCAAATGAAGAAATTGTACCTCAAGAAATTCTGCATAGGATTTGCGTATCGGCCCTTTTTCATCAACAACTATTGTACCATCTCGAAGAATTTCGAAAATAACATATGAATTAATTTTTTTTTCGCGTATATCAGAATAAAATTCTTGAAGTTTTTGCGGATTTTTTATCACTGCCTTTTGCTGAAAAAAAAAACAAAAAGATTCCTGAAAATTGAATTTTTAAATTGTTTCAACCATTGTTTTAACCATTTAATCTTTTTCTACTAAAAACGAAACTTTATATTTTAAATTATAAAACTATTAAAATTTTCATAATTTGTTATGCTAATAAAAAAAAGAATACCGCAACACTCATGGCGATAATGTAAAAAAATTGAAGAATTATCCAAAAAGTAGCCATAATTATTTTTGATGAACTCTTTCTCACAGTTTGGTTGAGCTACTAAACATAAAATAAATCAAATATGTTGTAGAAATTTAATTCAAAAATGATAAGGTCAATCCAACGAAATGAAGGAGACAAGAACGTAAGTGATATGTCAAATACGCGAAAATTACATAGCAAATGAAGCATTTCGCATTTTCTATCAATATTCCCCTCGGGAGTAAGAAGGTGGTACTGCCAGAGGTTTATTTTCGTTGTAAAATTGCTTCCCACCAGAAAATAACTTTAATCAGTCGAGCAAACCTATCACAAACAATGTTTTAAATTAATTTTTTCATTAATCCGTTGATTAACCCGTTGATTAAAAAATTTTTATATTAATTGTACATATCATCTTTGAATCTCGTTGAAGAAAATACAATTAATAATAATTATTTCACGTGGCACCAACATTCTTAGCTTGACAGATGTTTCATTTAATCATATAAATGAATCCTTTTTTAATTAAAAAAAATTTGGCACAGCCTTAGCACTTAGAAAAAAAGTTTCACTTAGAAAAGAGAAAGAGAGATGCAATTTCTGGAAAAACAAAACTTTTTAACAAATATTTCCACATTTTCTTCACCATTCACGATGAAGAATTTGTAAGAAATACCGCAAAATCAACCAGCTATCAACGCATATTCGAAAAGTTAAACATAGATGTAAAACGAAAATGTTACGAAAATGTACAAATTATCTGAAGATACCACCCACTAAACCAAAAGGCTTCTTCATGTTATGTTTATTTATTTTGTTATTTCAAATTTATCAATTATCAGAAATTATGACTTATTAAATGGAAATAATTCGTAAACATATTTATTTGCTTTGGATTCTCACTTGGATTTTATATCAGAGAATTGTAACTTTTGAAAATAAAACACTGCAAAATATGCATGTTTATATTACTATCGATGATTTAATATCAGAACTGATAAGTTTATTAAATGGAAATTTATTAAATAGATATAATAATCATTAATCATTAAAATAATAATCATTAATATTCAAATTCTGAAAATAATTTTACTATCATTATCACTATTATTATTATTACTATTACCATGTTATACTCATAATTTAATATCAGAAATGATAACTTGTTAAGCTGAAATATTCATTAGTCATGTTTGTTTGCATCTCTCTGCGCGATTGTTTCTCAACAACAGTAAACTCGTCGTGGTTATTGTAAATTATGAATTATGAAATCAGATGCTTAATAGCCTTTTATATTTTTTACAAAATCGAATAAAATTATGAAAAAAAACGAGAAAAAACTGTTCAAAAGAAGTGAGCGGAAATTTTTCTATTATCTTTTGAATTTTCCCAAATAATTATTATCGAACATTGGTTTTATTTCTAAAATCTTTCTGATCCACTTAGCGAAATAATTAACATTTGAAAAATTGCAAGAATGATATTTTCAAGAATGGTATTATTCCCTTATCCATCAGCAATTATAGTTTATTCTATTTTATTGTACTATTTTATCACTATATTCTATTGGAACGTTAGAACGCTTATGAATGTTGCAAGCCAGGCGATCATTGTCCACACCATCTCTAAATACCGTGTGGGTGTGGTTTATTTGTCGGAGATTTGCATTGCTCAAATCGGCTCTCAAGCAATTATTAAAGCTGATTCCGAGCAAAGATAATGGCTTTATCACTGTGGTGTATCGGAAAACTCAGAGCGAAATGGCGTAATGGTCTGTCATGTCTGAAAAACTCGATCCGCTCTGATTAAATGGAAGCCACTAAATGACCGTATGGCCTACGTGCGTTTTGAGGAAAATCTCTACGATATTTCAGTTATCAGCGTATATGCTCGAACTTCATGAGCAAATAACCACGATAAGGATAAATTCTATGCGGAATTTCAATTCTTAACAACATCTCTGATTGAAATAATCTGTTATAATCTTTTATCTATAATATAATAGAATTATTTCAACGAGGTTCAAATGTCACATATAGAATAAATATGGAGAAAGTTAAATTTTTTAAAATTTTCTCTAAATTAAAACTTTTTTTCCAACAGGTTGATGAAAATATTAATATTGTTTTTGATTAGGTTTGCTAGATTGATTACAGTTATTTGAAAATGCGAATTGTTTCATTAGCTATTTAATTTTCGCATATCAAACCTATCGTGTACATTTTATTTCATTGGATTGATCTTATCATTTTTGAATTAAATTTCTATACAATATATTTGATTCGTTTTATGTTTAGTAAAATGTGGTTAACTAAATTGTGAGAAAAGTTCATCAAAAATGATTCTAATGGCTACTTTTTGGATAATTTTCTTTAGTTTTGTTTTATCATCGCCATGAGTGCTGCGATGTTCTTTTTTTTTTTTATTGGCTTAACAAAATATAAAACTATAAAAATTTTAATAGCGGTTTTGGTTGATAAGGTTAAATGGTCAAAACTATCGTTGAAATGATTAAACTATATTTTAAAGCAGTTTTTGTTTTTTTAACTAACCGTTGATAAAAATTCACTTCGTGAATTGCTTTCTAATTTAATAGTTTAATATTCTGATTTAATCGAAAAAAATTCAATAATTAATTATTATGTGAATTTCAAATAAATGAGCTAATAAAATTATCATGGCGTTTTGCAAGTGCATTTATGGATTCGTTATGTATTTCTCAAATTTTGGCAAATATATACAATATATTTTATGTTATATCAAATGGATCGTCGTTTTTAGGGACGATTTATGAAAAATTCGTTCCAAGAAGCGATTAAGACCAATTTATTAATTAACACATCAATCACCATTAAAAAAAAAGCACACCGAACACCAGAAATGTACCAAAGTATAATTTGTTATTGATCATAAAAAAGACTATGAATGCTGAAGATGACGACAAAATTCAAAAAACAGACTTTAACAAATGTGAATAAATATGAATCCATGAAAATTTAAAGATAACCATAAAGCCAATCGCCTTCATATGCTAATTTTACGAATTTTTTGTCAGCATCATTTTTATACACGTGAAATTAGCTGAATTATAGATATCGCTTGATTTTATCCTCTGCGATATCGCGATAATCTACAGCAATTATTTGAAAATCGGTAGAGCGAAAAGTTGTCTTCATTTCACAGAACAGTAAAGTATTTTTCATAATAGATTGTCGTGTAGCTTTTTCTCCACAGCTAGAAATTCTGAGATTATTTTGAGGAATAAACATGCATGAGGAATAAACATGCAAAAGAAATTCGAAAAAAAATTGAATGAAATCCTGCACTTTCCTCATATATGTGGTAGTTTAACGCGCCTCGCTTTGCTAAAATTGAATCGTAAAAAAGAGGAAGGAGTGATTGAAAAATAAAAATAAAAGCAATATCAAAAAATTACCAAATATATTTTCACTATTCTTTCTGGTAGAGAATATAATATATAATATTATATGTATATTAATATATAATATATAATTTAATATAAAATGATATAAAATAATTAAGAAATTTAGCAAATGCGCTAAAATCTTATCAAAATCAGTGAGCATAAATCCCTATTTTGAGGATTATAATATATAAATTTATTTATATAGAGATATTTGAATTGCAATATATTTAGAAAAAATTTCAATTTTTAAGCTCCTTTAAAATTAATTCTGATAATTTATTTTGTCATCGTATTAATCAAATCAATCTGAGTGCTGCTGTTTGTACTATATTTCTATAATAGTGCAAAGTGTTTATCAAAAGAATAGATTTAAATATCACTAACTAAAGAATGAAGACGAGTTTTTTGGTACCAAGTCGCGCCTCCACATCAACCATCCCATACAGGCATTCATTTTTGTCATAAGAAATTTCAAGAAATTTCTGAAAGTAATAATTAATAATTAATTTAAAATAAAATAAAATTATGCTGCATATGAAATTGAAATTTATAAAATTGCTTTTCTTTTAATGATAAAATTTATGAAATTTTTTCATTAAAAGAAAAAACCATTGTATCAGCTCGAATTGAAAAAAAGAAATGGAAAGGATAAATTTCTCAAAATATTGTAATAATATTAATAAAAATAATGCAAACATATTATATAAAAATCGTCAATTAACTAAAGAAAGAGTTTTATGAAATGAAAAAAGCTTCTAAATTCCTTATGCAAAGATGCGATGTTGCATCGTTGCTGAAACGAAATGAATTACAGCAAATGAATAAATTGTACCTCACGAAATTCTGCATACGATTCTTGTCTCGGACCTTTTCTAACATTAACTATTGTATCATCTTTAGAAATTACAAAAATTATATATGAATAAATTTTTTTTTCGCGTATATCAGAATAAAATTCTTGAAGTTTTTGCGGATTTTTTATCACTGCTTTTTGCTGAAAAAAAAACAAAAAGATTCCTGAAAATTGAATTTTTTAAATTGTTTTAACCATCTTTTTAACCATTTAATCTTAATCTACTAATAAGTTTATGCTTTTAATTATAAAGCTATTAAAATTTTTGCAATTTATTAACAAAAAAATGAATACCGCAGCACTCATGGCGATGATACAACAAAACTGAAGAAATATCCAAAAAGTAGCCATTGAAATTATTTTTGATGAACTCTTCTCACAATTTAGTTGAGCGTTATACTAAACATGCAATAAATCAAATATATTGTGGAAATTTAATTCAAAAATGATAAGGTTAATCCAACGAAATGCAGAAGATAAGAACGCAAGTGATATGTCAAATACTCGAAAATTGCATAGCAAATGAAGCATTTCGCATTTTCTATCAATATTCCCATCGGGAGGAAGCAGGTGGTACTGCCAGAGGTTTATTTTAGTTGCAAATTTGCTTCCCACCAGAAAATAACTTTAATCAGTCGAGCAAACCTATCACAAACAATGTTTTAAATTAATTTTTTCATTAAATCGTTGATAAAAATTTTTATACATTAATTGTACATATCATATTTGCACCTCGTTGAAGAAAATACAATTAATAATAATTATTTCACGTGGCAGCAACCTTCTTAGGTTAACAGATTTTTCATTTTTCATAGGAAAAAAGAAAAAGTTTAGAAAAAAAAGTTTTACTTAGAAAAAATAGATTTAGGCTTAGGCTTAGAAACGAAATGCTTAAGGAATAATTCCACATTTTTTTTCATTTTTCCTTCATTGAAATTAAAAATGAACATACCAAGCGATGAAGAATTTAGAAAAACACCGCAAAATATGGGAAGTTAAACATAAATATAAAACAAAATCTCACGAGAATTTATAAATTAACTAAAAACACCACCACCCACTAAACCAAAGGACTTCATCGTATTATATTTACTTTACTGTTTCAAATTTATCAATTATCAGAAATTTTGATTTATTAAATGGAAATAATTCGTAAACATATTTATTTGCTTCAATCGTGTTTATCAGTAAATTGTGACTTATCAAAAGAATGTTTGCGTATAATATTACTATTTATGAAAAAATTGATTAAATTAAAAGAAAATAATTAATAAACATGTTTATTGAAATTGAATTTGTTTATAGAAGTAAAACAAAATTTCGATACGATTGGAACTTTTTAAATGCAGTTTGTATACCTTAAAAAGTACTACTTTTTGTGGATTCAGAAAGAAAACTTTCGCTTTTAGTTATTTCGACTCTTGCAGCTATTCCGAAACAGCTGGCTATTGTTGCAATGTTACATACATTGCATAACTATTATTACTTATTTATTTTATTTATCATCAATTTTATCATCGGAATAGATGAAATTTTGGCTTCGCATACTAGAGAAATATATTATATGGTCCCTTGGGGACAAAAATACAAGTGAGTCACCAGTGTCACTCGGAATTTCGCTCAGTTTTTTACTTCTACAGTACAACCTCTTTGAACATGTGTACTCCGAATTGAGCAACAACCCTCTGAGCCATTTCATTCTAAACAGTTTCAATTTCAATTTTTTTGAATCAACTGATATTTCATTTAAATTTTATAAAAAGTCAGAATAATCTTAGATTTAAGCAACTCTTCCATTCATTAATAAATAACTAATTATAACTAATAACTAATAATTAATAAATGATATTATTTGGATGTTAAATTCTTTTATAAATGTTGTAAAAAATAAAATTTACAGCTAAAATGGAATAAAAAAACATCCAAATAATCCAAAAAACAATAAGAATTGTTACAATGTAATTAAATATGTTAAACTATGTAAAACTATTCTAATCTAAGAAGCTTAGTTGCAGCATTCAGAAAAAAAGTATCACTTAGATAAAAGAGAGATGCATCTCTGGAAGAACGAAACTGCTTAAAGAATAATTCCACATTTCCTCCACTTTTCCTTCACTGGTATTGAGAATGTATATACCATGCAGTGAAAAATTTATAAGAAATACTGCAAAAGCAATCAGCTAACGCGCATTTGGAAAGTTAAACATAGATGTAAAACGAAAATCTGGCGAGAATTCATAATTATAAATAAAGAACCACACACTAAACCAAAGGACTTCTTCTATTATGTGTTTTGTTATTTATTAATTATCAGTTTATCAATTTATCAGAAATTATGACCTATTAGATGGAAATATTTCGCAAACATATTTACTTTACTCATTTGGATTTTATATCAGAGAATTGTAATTTTTGAAATTAAAGCACTGCAAAATATGCATGTTTATATTACTATCGATGATTCAATATCAGAACTGATTAGTTTATTAATGAAATTTTATTAAACAAATATTGAAATAATAATTATTAATATTCAAATTATGAAAATAATTTTACTATCATTATCACTATTATTATCATTATTATTATTTGTTACTATTACTATTTAATAATAATACTTATAATATAATATGATAATTTATTAAACTAAAATCATGTTTGTTTACAACTTTCTGTGCGATTGTTTCGCAATTAGAGTAAACCCGTCGTGCTTATTCTAAATTATGAAATCAGACAATTTTTTATATTTTTTACAAAATCGAGAAAAAACTGTTCGAATGAAACGGAAATTTTTCTATTATCTATTTTTCTATTATCTTTTGAATTTTTCCGAATATCTTTTATCGAGCATAGTTGTTATTTCCAAAATCTTTCTGGATACACCTACCGAAATAATTAACATTTGAAAAATTGCAAAAATGATATTTTCGTCGATTGTTACAATCTTATTCCTTTATCCATTAGCAATTCTGGTGAGAAAAACATATTACAAAATCAAAACAACTAATCATTAGGAATATTTCAATTTTCTATTTTTTATATTTTTTAGAATAAAAATTAAGATCGTTTTTTTCGAATATAGCTAAAAATATATCAGTGAAAAACAAAAAATAAAAAATAAAATAAAAATAGAAACAAAAAATAAATAAATTAATAAACAAAAAAACAAAAATAAAAATAAACAAAAATATAGCTAAAAATATATCAGTAAAAAACAAAAAAAAAACAGAATAGCAGAAATATATATAAACATAAATTATAATGACAAATAATAAAGAGTAAGACAGTTATCTATTTATTTCATTTTCTCCAAGGATTATGAAAAAATTTAAGAGTCGAGCTAAGAGGGCCATGTGAAATATTATATCTGTTATCATTTATTTATTATAGAATATTTTAAAACGAGAATGTCATATNTTTAAATCTTAAGGGCATTTCCCTGGTGTTTATTTGGAAGCCTTTATTTTATTCAGAATATGCTGATTGTTGATTGTGCGGTGGGTAAGGTTTGTGTTTTAGTTTGGACGAGGAAAAAATAATTTAGATGGAGGCTAAAACAATATGACTCAGATAAGTTAATTTTTGACTTATAAATTATTTCTTACAAGTTCTTCACCGCATGATATATTCAGTCTTAATGCCAATGAAAGAAAAATGAAGAAAATGTGGAAAGGTCAATAAAAAAGGATTCATTTATACGATTAAATGAAATATCATAGGAAGGTTGCTGCCATGTAATCTGTTATCATTACACGAAAAAAGTATTAAATAATCAATTATTATGTGAATTGCAAATAAATGAGCACATGAAATTGCATAATTGCGTTATCATGGCGTTTTGCAACTGCAATTGTGGAGAAAAATATAAATCCGTGAAAATTTAAATACACTTATGAATTTTCGTTAGTATCGTTTTTATATACGTGAAATTAGCTGAATTAATTCATGAAATTTTCTTAGCACCTTTTTTATATATATAAATTTAGATGTCGCTTGATTTTTACCTCTTTGATATTCCATAGCAACTAGTTGAAGGCCGAAGGAAAAGTTTTCTTCGCTTCAGCGAACAATAAAATATTTAATAATTTAATAGTTTTCTAAATAAAAACATAAAGTCTCGTTTTTAGATTAAGGTTAAATGCTTAAAACTATGGTTAAAATTTAAAACAGTTTTTCAGGAATCTTTTTTTTTCAATGACAGTTTTTATTTTCGATCAATCCATAAAAAACTTCGTTAAAAGAGCTTATGAAATTGCATGATTGCTTATCACGGCATTTTGCAAATGTGAATTTGTACAGTCTCAAATGTTGGCAAATATATTCAATATGTTTAATTTATCAAATGAATTGATGTTTTCACAACGTTTTATGAAAAATTCTTTAGAAGCGATCGCGACCAATTTATTAAATACCACACTAATCACCATAAAAAAAAAGCACACCAAACACCAGAAACGTACCAAAGTGTAATTTGTTATTGATTATAAAAAAGATGTTATTATTATGATGATAACGATGATAAATTTTAGAAAATAATGTGAAAATTTTTAACAAATTTAAGATTTTAATAAATGTGAAAAATATGAATCCACGAAAATTTAAAGACAACCAACTTCTTCATATGCTAATTTTATGAATTTTCGTTAGCATCGTTTTTATATACGTGAAATTAGCTGAATTAATTTTGGAGCGAGTTTAACCAGTAATGTTGAGGACTCTTAAAAAAAAGTTAATGCATCGATCACCATTAAAAAAAAGCATACCAAAGCACCAGAAATGTGCCAAAATATGACTTCTTATTGATCATAGAAAAAAAAGATTTGAAAAAACATATATAATAGACAGATTTTAACAAATGTGAAAAAATACGAAATTATAAAAAATATGAGTAAATCTTTTTTTAGAAATTTAGACGACTCTTGATTTTATCTTCTTTGATATCTCGATACTGCATAGCAGCTAGTTGAAGATCGGCCGAAGGAAAAATTTTCTTCATTTCACTGAACAATGGAAAATGTTCTATACTAGACCGTCGTGCAGTTTGTTCATCACAGCTAGAAATTATTCTGAGATTATTTTGGGGAATAAACATGCAAAAGACATTCAAAAAAAAAAGTGGATAAAATCTCTTACCCTTCGCTGATATATGTGGCAGTTTTAATGTATGTTTTTTGCTTGAATTATGAAGAGATGAATGAGTGATTGAAAATAAAAGCAATATCAAATAATTACCAAATATATTTTCACTATTCTTTTTGGTAGAGAATATAATATATATATATACAATATATATATATATTAATATATAATATATAATTAATATAAAATAATATAAAACAATTAAGAAATTTAGCAAATGCGCTAAATTCTTATCAAAATCAGTGAGCATAAATCCCTATTTTAAGGATTATGTAGTATATAAATAATTTTATTTATAATAGTATTCGATGAAAATTTGCTTTCTTTTGCACAAATCGAGTTAAAATAAATAGAAATAGAAAAAGAAATAAGAGTAAACCATTATTGTATTTTTTGTATTTTTACGGGAAATTTTTTAGAGATATTTAAATTATAAAATATTTAGAAAAAAATATGAAATATTTAAAAAAAAAATTAAAATATTGTAGTGATTTGCTTTAATCGTATTCATCAAACCAATCTTAGTGCTGTTTGAAGACGAACTGTACAATATTTCTGTAAGAGTGCAAAGTGTTTATCAAAAGAATAGGTTTAAATATCACTAACTAAAGAATGAAGACGAGTTTTTTGGTACCACGTCGCGCCTCCACATCAACCATCGCATATACACAGTCTTTTTTACCACGAGAAATTTCAACAAATTTCTAAAAATAGTAATAAATAATTTAGAACAAAAGTAAAAGTAAATTGTGCAGCTTATCGCATTTATGAAATTGCTTCTTCCGGTTAATTTGTGCATTACAAAAAAAAACCATTGCATTAGCTCAAATTTTAAAAAAAAAATTGAAGGGAAATTATCATGGAAAAGAAAAATTTCTCAATGAATTGTAGTTGTAATGTTAATATAAACAATAGAAGCTGACATATTATTATAAAAAATCATCATTTAGCTAAGGAAGAAGTTTTATAAAATGAATTTCGAAACTCTTTACCAATAGAAAGATGCGATGTTGTATCATTGTTAAAACGAAATGAATTACAGCAAATGAAGAAATTGTACCTCAAAGAAATCTGCATAGGATTTGTAATCTTCGTCATCAACAACTATTGTACCATCTTCAGAAATTTCGAAAATTACGTATGAATAAATTTTTTTTTCGTGAATATTAGAATAAAATTCTTGAAGTTTTTGCGGATTTTTTAGTACTATTTTTTGCTGAAAAATATAAAAAGATTGCTGAAAATTGAATTTTTTATGTTTTAACCTTAATCGATGAAACTTTACATTTTTAATTATAAAATTGAAATTTTTATAATTTGTTTTATAATAAGCAAATTAAAAAAAGAGTACCGCAGCGCTCATGGCGATGATGTAAAAAAATTGAAGAAATATCCAAAAAGTAGCCATTGAAATTATTTTTGATGAGCTCTTCTCACAATTTAGCTGAGCGTTATACTAAACATACAATAAATCAAATATGTTGTAGAAATTTAATTTAAAAATGATAAAGTTCATCCAACGAAATGAAGGAGATAAGAAGGTGATATGTTAAATAGGCGAAAATTTAATAGCTAATGAAACGATTCGCATTTTCTACCCAAACTCCTCTCGGATGTACTGCCAGAATTTACTTCCATTGTAAAGTGGCTTTCCACCAAAAAGTAACTTTAATCAGTGCAGCAAACCTAACCAAAAACAATGTTAATTTTTTTGTTGATAAAATATTAGATCTAAAAAAATTTCTACACATTAATCTTACATATGGCATGTGAACCTCGTTGAAAAAATTCTACTATTATCATAAAAATATTCTATTAATATTCTAATAAATATTCTATTAATAACAGATTATTTCACATGGCAGCAACCTTCCTGATATTTCATTTCTTTTTACCTATTTCATTTAACCATATAAATGAATCTTTTTTCAACTAAAAAAGATTTGGCACAGCCTTAGTTGTAGCATTTAGAAAAATAGTTTCACTTTAGAAAAGAGAGAGATGCAGTTTCTGGAAAAGCGAAACGATATTTAAAGAATATTTTTGCATATTTTCTTCACCATTCGGTGAAGAATTTATAAGAAATACGGCAAAATCAACCGCCTAACGCTCATTCTGGAAGCCAAACATAAAGGTAAAACGAAAATTTCACGAGAATTTATAAGTTAATTAAAAATACCACCCACTAAACCAAAGGACTTCATATTATGTTTATTTACTTTACTATTTCAGATTTATCAAAAATTATGACTTATTAAATGGAAATAATTCGTAAACATATTTATATGCTTTGGATTCTCACTTGGATTTTATGTTAGGGAATTGTGACTTTTGAAAATAAAGCACTGCAAAATATGCTTGTTTATATTACTATCGATGATTCAATATCAAAACTGATAAGTTTATTAAATGGAATTTTATTAAACATTAAATTAAACATTAAATATTAAATATTAAATATTTGAATAATAATCATTAATATTAAAATTCTGAAAATAATTTTACTATTATTATCACTATTATTACTATTATTTGCTACTGCCATTGTTACCATGTTATACTTATAGTTTAATATCAGAAATGATAAGTTGTTAAGCTGAAATATTCATTAGCCATGTTTGTTTGCATCTTTCTGCGCGATTGTTTCTCATTTAGAGTAAACTCGTCGTGCTTATTGTAAATGAAATGAATTATGAAATCAGATGCTTAATAGCCTTTTATCAGAAATTATGACATTTTTTGCAAAATCGAACAAAATCATAAAAAAACGAGATAAAAAACGAATTTTTCCGAATTATTAAGAAGCATAGTTGTTGTTTCTAAAATCTCTTTCTGATGCATTTATAGAAATAATTAATACTTGAAAAATTGCAAGAATAGTATTTTCGTCAATTCGTCACAGTCTTATTCCCTCATCTATCTTCTTTTCTTTTTTCTTCTAACAGCTCTCACCATTATTGCTTAGGTTGCCTCCACTGGCTGCGAGAGTAAGACCATCTCCAAGTTGCTCCATCGCTAGTAGTAATAGAAAGCCATTCCTTTTTCGATCGTCTAAATTCTATATCGCTGGTCCCCTTATACCTCCAAATCTTTTTTGACCTTATCAGTCCATGCCATCCTCGCTTTTGTCGCCAACCATCAAAGGGTTTAGCAAGTAACGAAATATGCGTCAACTCCGATGGTGGATGACGGAAAACGTGCCTTAACCAGCGAAGGCGACGCTCTGTGATAACATTATTAATAAATGTGGTATTTGAGCGAAGATGGATACAGTCATGTTCGATTTTATCTGCTCGGCGGATCCGTAAAATGTACCTTAGACATGAATGGTCAAAGGTTAATAGTTTCTTAATATCTTCCACTCTCACTGGCCTGGCCATATTTCGTAACTATACAGCAAGATCGAGCGAATTGCTGCTATGTGAATGCGGATTTTCATCTTTATGGTGATTTCGCAATGGTTCTAAAGAGGTTTCATTAACCGGAAAACTATCGTTTATTCGGATTACAATTTCATCCATTGTCTGGCCATTTGGGATTAGAGTGGATCTAAGATATTTAAATTGGGGCACTTCCTCAACCCGCAATGAATTTACAAAAAGAGGCTTTATCAGCTTCTTGCACATAAGACGAAAAGACTTTCGTTTTATTTACATTGATCCTGAATCCGATTCTTGCTGCAGTTTCTAATGTTATTTAGTATTACTTGCATTTCGTTATAACTGTCAGCAAAAAGCACTACATCATCAGGGTATTCTAGTTCTGTGATGCTATGTTACTACTGATACTACTGATTTGCACACCTTTTGAGTGCCGACAAGCGATGCTCAGTCTATTGCATAGTCGAATAAACAGAATTGCATTGCTCTAGCCTTCTGGTAATATTTCTTTTTGCTCTACCAGAGAATACATTTGTTGAAAGTGAATTATGAATGATGATTGAAAACATTTGAAGAGTTCGGCCCAAAAACCATCTTCGGAATTATAGAGAGTATTTCCTCTTCTGTTTAAGGTTCACAATTGCAAACGTAAGGCTCAACGTGCAAATTAGTTCGGGACAACAGATGGTGCATAGTGGTTAAATTTGGCCTCAAAAAATTCTTTCCATCTCTGAGGCGATTCTTGGCAGCTTATCCTCATCCATCAGCAATTATAATTCGTTCTATCATATCGTGTAAACTATTGCCACCTGAATCACCCCAAAAAATGGAGCTAAATATGAAATGATGACGACTTTTGAATTTTATATCTGCCCAAAATTACTCAGATTAAAAAAGTGAAATTTAAAAATTAGAAATTTGAAATATTCGCAGTAATTAGTTGTTTTGATTTTGTAATATGTTTCATTAACTATAATTGCTGATAAAAGAGGGAATAAAACTGTGGTCGCATAAATAAAAATTAAGACCGTATTATTCGATAGATTCAGAAAACATAGCCAAAAATATACAAATGATAAATAAAAAATAAAAAGTAAAAATATATAATATAATGCAGAAATATATATTATAATGCCAAATAAAAAAGAGAAGTGATAAATAATCTCAATAGCACAATACAATAAAAGAAGAAACGGAAAAATAAACTGACGACTAAGATTATGGTAATGTTTTCCATGAAGATCACAGCAAGGTTTTATGGAATAAGTAAGAATAACATTTCGAGGGATGTCAAGAGGATGTAATAAGGAAATTAACGAGTAAGATATTTGAATATTAAGAATATGAAGGCTTATTATACACAAATTAAAAAAATATTAATGGATCAAGACAAATTAGAAGTGGAAATTATCCTAGAAAGGAATAACTCAAGTTAAGAGAAGGGGAGGAGGAGAAAAAGAGGAAAAGGAGAAGGAGAAGAGGAGAAAGACGACTTGGAACTGAAGATTATTATAAATTAGAAATAGTAAAAGCAGTATTACTCACTCGGTCTCAACGACTTTACATTTTTCAGATCTGTGGATTGCATAGTTGTTTTGTGTCGCTGTCGTAATTTCTCAAAGGCCAATTACATCGAAGATCACCATTTTGTTATGGGAAGAACGAAAGAAGTATTGAAACAAAAGAATTTTTTTTCTTATTTAAGATGCACCTAAGAGAAATAAATTTAAAATATGCAATTATCAATAAATTCATTGCCTATTTACCATCTAAAAAATCAACACACTAAATTTTTCTACTGAAATAGATTAAATATTTCAAAAAGTTACTATATATTTTGCAACATTCATATGTTAGCGCACCTTAATGCTTGGTTGTCCGTTGCGCTATCCTTGCAAACAGCACAAATCAGAATGTGCTGAACAACAGAACTTCGTTTCGATAGAACTAAAATCTTTAAAAAATTATAAATTAATAAAACTAATTCGAATTGTAGGAACAGAACACGACTATTTTCATAATCATTATTTTATTTCAAAATAACATGAATTGGAATTGTATGAAACAAAAGCGTTTTTCCCTAAGGCTTAGCTTGTCTTTGAAATGAAATACCATCTAAACTTTGAATGACCTTAGTTGGTTAATTTTATCACTCTGTTAAGGAATGAAGGAAGTATCTAAATAAAGGTTTGTTAACTTGGACATTTTGAATAACGAACTATAATTATATCAACAAAATTTTATAAAATTGATCAAAGAAAGAAAGAATTGATGAAAGAATTTTAAAAAGATTATTTATACTTCTTGTTTATGAATTCTTGTAAATTAGGAGTGCCACTGGTACCACAGCTATGAATGTCCCCTTATACTTTAAAAAAAAGCTATCTGCACTGTGGGGAGCAATGAAATCCGATGTTAGATACATATTGTTCATACTTAATATGTTGTTTGCTGCATCGAATTTTGAACATCGAAAGGCAAAATTTTGCGATGATAGGGCATATGGCTGAGGGAATCCTGGGAAATCCGACAATGATAAAAGAATTTAGAAAGAATATAGTGGAAGTGACTGAGAAATCCACGTTGAATTCATACTAAAATCCGTAGCTCCGATATTTATATAAATGCTTCTTTCAAAACTTTGCTCTTCAACAAAATTCGATTTAATTTGAAAATTAAAATTATAAACCGATGGTATCGGTTGACATTTATTGACATTTGAAATATACTGCGGATAATATTGTTCGAAACAGAACGATGCACCAGAATCATGGCGTAGCAATGATGGCGTATATATTTAACTACCATGATTTAGGTTCACAACCATCATCTTCTCTATCATAAGAAATCAGTTCAAATCCATGAGTAATTATATTTTTAATTATATTCAGGTTATTCTGGGAAAAAATTCTAAATGCATCGATGAAAATGAATTCTCCTCTATTGAAAGCAATTCATTCATGCTTACAGCCGGTATCTAATT